GTGGAGCAACATACACATTGGGGGCATCCCAGAAGGAGACGAGGGAGAGAATATGTGAAGAGATAATGCCAAAAACATCCCAAGTTTGATGAGAGAGATGAATGTAGACATCCAGGAAGTTCAATCAACTCCAAGTAAGATGAACTGAAAAAGACACACATTGAGATACATTATAATCAAACTTTTGAAAAACAAAGATAAAGACAAAGAGAATCTTGAGAACAGCAAAAGAGAAAGGACTCATCACATACAAGGGACCTTCCATAAGATTACTGGCAGATTTCTTGTCAGAAACTTTGGAAGTCAGAAGGGAGTCTTGCAGGGTGAAATGAAAGGACACTAGACAGGGGCGCCTGGGTGGCTCAGTCGGTTAAGCGTCTGCCTTCCACTCAGGTCATGATCCCAGGGTCTTGGGATCGAGCCCCGCATCGGGCTCCCTGCTCAGTGGGAAGCCTGCTTCTCTCTCTCCCGCTCCCCCTGCTTGTGTTCCCTCTCTCGCTGTGTCTCTCTCTGTCAAATAAATAAATAAAATCTTTAAAAAAAAAAAAAAGAAAGGACACTAGACAGTAACTCAAAGACATACGGAAAAATAAAGATATCCATAAAAGTAAATACATGGGCAATTATAAAAACTAGTATTGTAACAATGGTTTGTAACTCTAGTTTTTGCTTCCTATGTTACTAAAGAGACTAATACACTTTTTAAAATTACTAGTCTAAAAGCTAGTATTATAACTTCAAATTTTGTTTTCTACATAATTTAAGAGGCTAATGCATTTAAAAGAATTACTAGTTCATGTTTTTTGGATATACCATGTATAAAGATGTAATTTCATGACATCAACAACCACAAAGAATGGGGACAGAGGTGTAAAGGAACAGAGTTTTGGTATGTTATTGAAGTTCAAGATGGTATCAATTCTAATTTGAGTATTATAATTTCAGTATGTTCACTGCAATCCCCACGATAACCACAAAGAAAATAGCTACAGAATATACACAAAAGGAAATGCAAAAAGAATTTAAATATTTCATTACAAAAAATAAACTAAACACAAAAGAAGACAGTAATGCAGAAAATGAAGAACAACAACAACAAAAGGCTATAAGGCATATAGAAAACAAATAGCAAAATGATAGAAGTAAGTCCCTCCTTACAATAATTACATAAAGGTTAAACCTTTATTCTTATGAAGTGGCTAGGATGTTCAAGGTCATGGAAAACACCTACCTAAGTGACTAAATAAATGTTTTTTCTGTTCCCTTTAAAAAAAAAAAAATTCTTGTGCTGTTTCCCTGTTTACTGTAACCACACCTTCTTAATAGTAAGCTGTCTCGGGGCGCCTGGGTGGCTCAGTCGTTAAGCGTCTGCCTTCGGCTCAGGTCACGATCCCAGGGTCCTGGGATTGAGCCCCGCATCGGGCTCCCTGCTCGGCAGGAAGCCTGCTTCTCCCTCTCCCACTCCCCCGCTTGTGTTCCTGCTCTCACTATCTCTCTCTGTCAAATATATAAATAAAATCTTTAAAAAAAACAATAGTAAGCTGTCTCAAACACTTCCTGAGAGTAGATGGGCTTTCAATGTTATTATTTCAATATTATTATGCCTGTTCATGCCTTATGATCTTATTTGTCCAACCAGAGGACAGTGTACCCCCAGGCTTCCCGCTCTTTCCCCTCCTCTGGAATGCCCCCAATTTGGAGAGACTGTCATAATGACAGAGTGTGAAAACTTCTGAATGTGGGTGGCTAAGGTGGCTTCTTCTTTTTTTTTTTTTTTAAGATTTTATTTATTTATTTGACAGAGAGAGACTCAGCAAGAGAGGGAACACAAGCAGGGGGAGTGGGAGAGGGAGAAGCAGGCTTCCTGCTGAGCAGGGAGCCCAATGCGGGGCTCGATCCCAAGACCCTAGGATCATGACCTGAGCTGAAGGCAGATGCTTAATGACTGAGCCACCCAGGCGCCCCTAAGGTGGCTTCTGATTGCAGTTAAAAATTTTTTTTTTTAAAGATTTTATTTATCTACTTGACACAGAGAGAGAGATAGAGAGAGCAGGAACACAAGCGGGGGGGTGGGAGAGGGAGAAGCAGGCTTCCCGTAGAGCAGGGAGCCCAATGTGGGGCTCGATCCCAGGACCCTGGGATCATGACCTGAGCCGAAGGCAGACGCTTAATGACTGAGCCACCCAGGCGCCTCTGATTGCAGTTTAAATGTAAATGGATTTTCATTTCCTCTCTTTTTCACATAAGATGATTAACATTGATCTATCCTTCATTTCACTGACCTTTTCTTCTAGAGTATACAATCCATTTGTAAGCCCATCCACTAACATCCTCATTTCAAATACAGTACTTTCAAAGTTCTAGAATGTCCATTTTTAAACAGCTTTCCTCTGTTCATTTGTTTTGACCAAGTTTTCCATTAAATCCTCAAACATTTTTATAATAGTTCCTTTAAAGTCCTTGGTTACCACTTTGAACATCTGATTTATATTGGGGTCTTGTTCTCTTCAGTATGGGGCACATATTCCTGTTTCTTTGCATGCCTAGGAATTTTCCAAAATGTATACCTGACATTATAGATGACATGTAGAGACTCTGGATTCTGTTATTTTCCTCTAAAGAGTGTTGATTTTTGTTTGGACAGATAGTTAACTGGGCTGGACTCAAATTCCAAACTCCATTTATCCTGCAGGGAGCATTGGCGGAAATTGCTCAATTTCAGATGTTGCTATTTCCTAGGGAAACTGCAGTTTTTCCTAAGCATGGACAGTTTAGTTGTCCTCCAGGGTTTAAGTCAGAGTTTCTATGCAGATTTTGGGGTACCCCATTCTGTGTTTTCCTCTTTCTGTTTTCTATATTATTTTTTAGCCTCCTTTACATGTATGAATTTCATCCTCTGACCGCTCATGTCTTTCTCTGTGAGTTCTAGCCACCCAACTCTGTGTGAATTGGGCGGTAACCTCAGATGAAAAGTTGTATAAATGTAAATTTTACCCAATACACTTCCTTCCTTTCAAGGATCAACTAGTTTTGTTCCATCTCTTTTGCCTTCAAATAATTTTATTTAATTTTTATTTTATTTTCCCTTCCAGGACTTATGACTGTCATCTATGGGAGCATTAGTCTGGTATGATCTACTTTCCTATGACTCAAAACATTCTAATTCTGTATTAATTTAATTATCTTTCTTCACCATCCCCATTTTTTCTTCTAGGAAGAATGGAGATCAACAGAAAACTTCTAACATTAATAATAGATTTTATTTCCTGTATGGATCATGTATGGTATGTAATATTTAGGTCACTATAAACCATTGGTGAGTAGTAATGGCTTAATTATTAATTTCTTAATGGTGTCTTTCAATGAGCAAAAGTTTTCTAATTATAATAAAGTATAATTTATCATTTTTTTAGTTGTTGTTTTCTGTCACTTTCTAAGGGACCTTTATCTATCCCCAGGTTAGAAAGATATCCTATGTTTTTCTCTAAAAGCTTGTGGCTTTAGCTTTTATGCTTACATCTATAATTCATTTTGAATTAGCTTTTGGTATGTGTCAGATACACACAACATAGGTGAGTTCCAAAACCTTGAGTGGAAAAAAAAAAAACCCAAATGCAAAGAATACATGCCATGCAATTCTACTTATATGAAGTTCTACAGCAGGAATAACTCCGCTATGGTAATAGAAATCAGAACACCGGTTTCCTGGATGGGAGAGAGTAGTGACTCAAAGGGGCACAAGAAAAAAGTTACTGGGGTCATGGAGACATCCTGAATCTTAATTGAAGTGGTATTTACATAGACATGTACATGTGTAAAAAACCCAATGAGCTATACACTTAAATTGCATGTGTTTTACTTCATGTAAATTGTACTTCAATTAAAAATGTATTATAAAAAAAATCCCAAGTAAGGAAAAGAACTTCAAGGATCCTGTTTTTTTCCCCTAAATGGAACAAAATCTAGTCCCTTGGTAATGACAAAGAGAAGCTACTGGCATATGAATTGTTATGATTGCAAGTATCTAATTCTTTCATCATCAAAAGAGAATCTGATGACATCATCATTCCCAGAAGACTGAACTAATAAACAGGCGAACTGGGTAGTGCCGTAGAACCAATACCAGGTTATCTGATTCATGATTTTTCAAAGGTCTCAGAATGTCCTGCTTGAAAACTGCCCACTTGAGATTTTCCACATGCCTTCTCAAACCACCATACTGTAAATGTTAAGTCTCTAAGGAAGAAACTATATAAAAGTCCTATGTGATCTTAGGAAAACAAAAGGTAAGAGTTTGTCCTTAATTTCAACCAAACTAAGCCACATTCAATTCCTTTTCTGCACACAATTTCGTAAGTACATAGACTGAGTATCACAAAGGAGCTTTATAAACTTCATGGCAAAATTCCAAGGTCAAAGTACAAATAATCTAAAAATTATAGTTCAGCCTCTAGCCCATACTTGGAATCAATTTTATATTCAAATACTTTTGAGGAAGAGCATCTATTTTATGCTGTTATTGGTCCTATCACCTATCTTGGAATGATCAACTTCATAATATTAATTCATTAAAAATAAGTTCCTTCACAACTATACCCCTCCTTAAAGTCCAAGTAAGTATTTTCACAATTATCTCTTTTCTCTGACACCCCACCCTGTAAGTTAGGCCGGGAAGTGGCATTTGTATTTTGATTTTCTGTAGGAAAAGCCCTGTGCACTCTAGAAAACACAAATGAAGGTTATAAAATCTCTTGCATCAAGGCCAGCTTAGACCAGCTAATGTCCTAGCTAGCTCCCACAAAAAGTGCCTCCACAGACTCAATTCTATTTTCATATAGAGAGACATCCAAGGACCAGATGTCCTCAAATCCTAGCCAATATCTATTAAATCAGCTGGTTTAAGTCACGGAGAATCACAATTCAACACAGCTTACTCTGTATACATCGTGTACCATTGTGCTGTATTTAATCTACTTTTATCTGTTTCTTTTTCCTCTCAGGAAAGGATGAAATATGGAAGAAAAATAATTCAACTGTTATTATTTTTATTGTTTCTATGGGCTTTGCACAGACAGTATCATTTCAGGTAATTTTTAAAAATTAATGAATATTTTATTCTGGAGTTTGGTAAGGATCTAGTTTGTCAGAAAGGTGATAGGCTAACCCCCTGAATAAATAAGCATCCAAATGTATCAATCCAATATACCCAGAAATATCCAGATGGCATTCAAATATATCAGCATAAGCATAACCTTCAGCATAAAAGTTCTTTGTTTCTAATGTGATCAAAGCTAAACATAATTTTGGTAGGCTCCTATGTGTGAGGAGAAGCAATGTTAAGCTACCAAGATAGTGACCATGTAATTATGGCAGTTAGCAAATGTTAGAGAAACTGCCATTTTTAAATAGGTGGCATCTTTAAGAAACATCCCTAATACTGGTGACTTCCGGCACTATGTATGGTATCTGCCTTCCACATAGTTACACAAGTAGAAAGAATTCATTGGCAATCAGCAAATTCCATTGTTTCAATGATATTAAGTTAGTTCTTCTTTCATTTGTAGCTCAAATAATTAGGTTTCCTTTTTTTAAGATATAGCATATGAAGTCCTTAACTGCAGTAATTTTTTTTTTATTATGGTCATTACTGTATCTCTCTACAACCAATAATGTTGGCACACAATATGTGTCTTAGTCTGTTCGAGCTGCTATCCCTCTGTGCTCTCTCTCTCTCAAATAAATAAATAAAATCTTCAAAAAAATTAAATGTGGAAACCCTTTGTATAAGTTTAAAAGTAATATGATTATTTTTGTCTATCTTAAGCACAAAGAAACTACAGAAGATACACCGGTGCTGGTAAGTCTTATTTACAAATATGCTATGACCTCTTCTTTGAGGACAAAACCTGTTGGAGGGCAGTGGGGTACCTGCAAGTCCTTGGCTCCTGCAGGCAGGTAAACCAAAGCAATTTTACAAACATATGTTGGAGATGCTTGTGTAAGGTCAGAGGACTAGGAGTACTAGGAGTGAGAAGTGGTTAGGGGAAACGTGTGATGGGAGCCAGAACCCAGCTTCCAGGAATCTTGGGTCTTTTAAAGCTCTGGGAAATCACACAGGAGTAAAGTTTTGGTTAAAAGATTCAGGAGATTGTTATTAACCACAAGCCACCTACAAAATCATACTATCAGAACGTACGCAGAGAGGAAAACTTCCTTAAAGATTGTGCAAGGCCCGAAATCATAACATGTTCTTCAGTTTCTCCCTGCAGTCATGGGAACCCACATAGTGAAGTAAAAGAAACTTTCTTTCTGATGCTTGTTGTGTGGAAGAGCCTTATGTCTCTGGTGGGTCCATAGTGCACAACACTCTCAGCAGGACTGTGACTCCATATGTGGGTGAGCTGCTCCGTGCATGAAAATAATACAGTAAGATGGTTTTCATGGGCAGGGTATGTTTCCCCTCCACAGAGCCATGGCTAACAGGGGACAGTAACTCTCAACCACCTGAAAACAAGAGGAAAACCCCTAGACAAAGGGGGGAACATGCAAGGGAAGCCTGCTGCAGCAGAGGCTGGGAGAAAGAAAGATTTAATATGTTTCCTGGTAAAATGTACACAATGCAACACAATCTAACAATTGCTCTATCATTAATATTAGCTCTCCTTAGCATCAGGCCTTACACATATGGCCTTAACACACTAATTCAGCATCCAAAGGCTTTGCTGTCAATGAGGCAGGTGCCTGTGTAGAAGGCCATGGTCTTAGTCACACCCTGGACACTGCAGTGCTCACTCATGACATACAGCTCAGCTCCACAGCTGCCCAATCCCCTCCTGAACTCAGCCCAGGATCAACTCTCCAAAGATAAGCTAGCTAGGGGGCCATTAGAGCGTATAGCAAGGAGGAAGTAAGGACGCAGGCCCAACTATTTGTCTTTCCACCTGCTGTGTGACTACGGACAAGATAATAAAAACTCTTTGTGCCTCAATTTCCTTATCTAGTAAAATGAGGATAATAATAATGACAACAATACCTATCTCATAGAGGTGGATTAAATTATTATTTATTTATTTATTTATTTATTTATTTATTTATTTATTTATTTATTTATTTGACAGAGAGAGACACAGCGAGAGAGGGAACACAAGCAGGGGGAGTGGGAGAGGGAGAAGCAGGCTTCCCGCTGAGCAGGGAGCCCGATGCGGGGCTCGATCCCAGGACCCTGGGATCATGACCTGAGCCGAAGGCAGACGCTTAACGACTGAGCCACCCAGGCGCCCCGAGGTGGATTAAATTAGATAATACTTAGGAAAGTATTCCATAAGTATTAGCTATTAATGAAGGGAATCTAACCTCATCCAGCAGGTTAGAGTATACTTCCCTTAAGTAGGGATATTTAACACGAGACCTAAAGGCTATGTGGGAATCAACTGGTTGAAGTCGTGGCGTGTTTAAGGAAATTTAAAGAGGCAAGTGAGTCTGGAAAACTGTCACTGTGGGGCTGGGTAGGAGACGTGGCTGAAACAGTGTGAAGGGTCAGATCACGCAGAATGTCATGGCCATATACGGAATGTAGATGTGATCCTCAGGACAATGGGAAGCCACCGAACCCTGTTAAACAGAATAATGATATGGGAACACTGGAGCTTCAGAAACATGACAGTGGCAGCACAGTGGACATATGGAGAATGGGTTGAAAAAGGCCAGTGCAAGGACAGGCAGAGGGGATCACAGTGTTAATTACGGGGGATGGGAATATGGAGGCTCATACTTCTGCCTTGCCAATCCAAGTGATAAGGCAACATATGAAGGGGACCTACTTTGGGGAAGACAGGATGATTTTCACATTAAACATCTTGATCTTGTGGCATTGGTGCAAACTTCAAGTAGAAGACTTCAGAACACTATTGGATGTCTGGGTCTTAAATTCCTGGGAGAAGTCTAGCTGCACATACAAATCTGAAGCCACAGGAAAATGCCTGCACGCAAGTTAACTGATCAAATAGAAAGCCTAGGCGAAACCCTTCAAACCAAGGCTCCTGAGCAGATAGGATATTTAAGGCCAGAAAGTAGGGTTATAATTCCGTTGCAATAAAAGGGGGGAAAATCAGTGCTCAAGATAAATTTGGAGGCAAGGTGGCAGAAGATTGAGGGAGCTTTCATGTGATGACAGCTATTTCTCTATCAATGAGAAGAAGGAGAATGAACATTGTGGAAACACATAAAGGTTTCTGGGCAGCCCAGAGACTGTTAAGTCGAGGTAAGAAATCATGATTTTCCATGCCACTCCCATCAAAGTTCATCATTGGTTTTCATACTGCTTCACGCTTATCTTGCACTTTACATCATATTATAACATAGCCCAGGATTTGGTAGACACTCAGTTACCTCAAACTCAAATAGATACAGTGTGATTCTTTGCATTATTCCTCCTGATAGGTTTGTGGATACTCAATCAAAAGAATTAGAGCTATCAGACTGGTTTTCTCCCAGGTAAGAATTCCAAATCAAACACATGTGAGATTGATCCATAGATTGTTCAGAAGTTAACAGATGGCAACAATACTCCAAATGGCATTCCAACTGTTGGATGGCAGATGGATCTTTGATTACATTTTAAAAAATAAGCAGTGGCCAAGATGCATTGGGAATGGACATTAGGGCCTACATCCTCCATAAATAAGAGTGTGGAATGACAGAAACCCAAAGGCCCTAATGACAGAAACCCAAAGGCCCTAAAATAGCAGGTCAAAGTGTGAAGGGTATATCTGAGATCTTTTGGTTGATTCTCCTCATTTCACCAATGAGGGAACCAAAGCCCAAATCAGATAGATGGGCCATCTGTGCACTTCTCACTTTAATATGGTGGCTTTCCTCTGGCCTCTCTGCCTCCCTCTTCTTACTACACCCACCTGTCTTTCTCCCTGGTGCTGCAGGGTTTCAGGACTTGTCCTAAATAACTTTGCAAGGAGATGTCCAGTTAAGATCATGATTGGATAATGGTCTGTGACTCATCCTTCCATGATATCCTAACTTTTATCAGATCTAATCAGGACACAGAAAGCACGCAGATTATTTTAAGAGAGAATTTAATACAAAGAACTGTTAACTAGCATAAAGTTGTTAACTAGGTAACTTGAGCTTAAACTCACGCACTCCACTGTGCTAGTATCTCCGAGCTCTTGAAAGGCCTCTTGGGACAGAGAACCAGCCCTCTAGGGAAGGGCACCATGAGGCTGGGTCTGCAAGTGTTGGAAAAGCTGAAATCTAGATTCAACTGCTGGTCTGGGAAGGAACTGCTAATATGGTGGTGTGGGATTTGAGGGAACAGGAGGAAGGCAAGGAGCCCACTGGAAACAGGAAAGAGCAAGTTCCTTCTTCCTCCAGGCTTGTAATTTTCCTCCAGTGCCTTCTATTAGCAGAGCCTCATAGGGTGCCCACTGTGGCTCGCAGAGTCCCAGCTCAGCACAATAAAGCCGAGTATAGTGGGGTGGGTTTAGCTATGAAAGATGCTAGCTTAATAACTGACACAGGATCCCACTAACAAGTAAGGCATATCCTTGTAACTCAGGATGATGATTCATCCCAAGAGTTGAACAAAGAAGAAAACCATATAATCATTTATACAGATTCCAAATAAACTACTGATAAAATTCAACTCCCACTGCATTTCTTTTTCTTTCTTTTTTTTTTTTTTTTTTGCATCAGGCTCCTTGCTCAGCAGGGAGCCTGCTTCTTCCTCTACCTGCCTCTCCCCCTGCCTGCCACTCCCTTTGCTCGTCCATTCTCTCTCTCTGAAACAAATAAATAAAATCTTCAAAAAAAGATTTGTCAATTTTGTTGATATTTTCAAAGAACCAACTTTTGGCTTCATTAATTTTATCATTTTTTTCCTCTTCCTCTATGTCAGTTGTCTCTGCTCCAGTCTTTATTCTCTGTTCCTCTGCTTGCTTTGGGTTTAGTTTGCTATTTTTTTCTAGTTCCTTAAGGTGGAAGGTTAGGTTATTATATAATATCTTTCTACTTTTTTAATATAGATGTTTACAGCTATACATTTCCTTCTGAGTATTGCTTTTCACTGCATCCCATAAGTTTTGGTATGTTTTATTTTCATTTTTATTCATCTCAATGTATTTTTTCATTCCCTTTGTGATTTTTTTCTTGACCCTTTGGTTGTTTAAGAGTGTGTTGTTCAATTTCCACATATTTGTGAACTTTCCAAATTTTCTTGTTATTGATTTCATTCCATTGTCAATGAACAAGATAGTTTGCATGTTTCCGGCCATCTTAAGTTTATTGAGATTTGCTTTATGGCTTAACATATGACCATCCTGGAAAATGTCCCATGTGTATTTGAGAAGAATATGTATTCCATTGTTGGCTAAAATGTTCTGTGTGTATCTGATTCTTTCTTCTGCCTGTTCAAATCTGCTGTTGAAATCTTAGGGCAAGTTTTGTTTTTTGTTTTTTTTTTTTCAGCTATTATACTTCTTAGCTCCAGAATTTCTATTTGGTTCCTTTTTATAATTTCTATCTCTTTATTCACATTCTCTATTTGTTAAGCTATTGTTCTCCTGGTTTCCTTTAGTTCTTTGTCCACAGTTTTCTTTGGCTTTTTCAGCACATTTAAAATAGTTGGTTTAAAGTCTTGTTTTAGTAAGCCTAATGTCTGGGCTTCCCTAGGGACAGTTTCCCTCTGAACGGACCATACATTCTTGTTTCTTTTTTTAAAGATTTTATTTATTTATTTATTTGAGAGAGAGAGAGAAACAGCATGAGAGGGGATAGGGTCAGAGGGAGAAGCAGGCTCCCCGCCGAGCTGGGAGCCCAATGTGGGACTCAATCCCGGGACTCCGGGACCATGACCTGAGCTGAAGGCAGCCGCTTAACCAACTGAGCCACCCAGGCGCCCCATACATTCTTGTTTCTTTGCATGCATCATCATTTTTAGTTGAAAACTAGGAATTTTGTATATTATAGTGTGATCACTTTGGAAGTCAGATGCTCTCACCTCCTAGAGTTGTTTGTCTGTTTAGTGACTTTTCCAGACTATTTTTAAAGACCGTATTCTTTGTCTTGTTTGGTCTGCGAGGTCTCTGTTCCTTTAGCTTGTGGTCAGCTAGTGGTTTGACAGAGATATCCTTAAATGACTAGAGCTAGAGTGGTGGTGATGGTGGTGGTTGGGGGGTTACTGGAGAAGAAGGAGAAGATGAAGAGAAGGAGGAAGAGGAGAAGGGGAAGAAGAAGAAAAGAAAAGGAAGGAAAAGAGGAAAGAAAAGAAAAGAGAAAAGGAAAGAAGAAAAAGAAAGAAAAGAACCCTCTTACAGTCTTTGAAGATTGGTTCTGTGTTTGGGCTCTCCTTCAACACAGCCCAGCTATTTACAACTCTGCCTTAGACTTCACTTCCTGCTTGCACTGAGTCTAAATATCATCCAGAGGTGAAAGCTTAGGATCTTCAGGGATCTTTTCACAGCACGTAACCTGCCCTGAACATGTGCATGGATTTCCTAATTCCTTGTTACACATAGGATCTTATCAAAGCCTTTACTTTTCAAAGAACTCTCTTCCAAACTTTTCTTCCCAGGCTTTCAGCACATCTAGTGTTTATTCCAACTGTTAATTTCTTGCCTCAGGTGGCAGGGGCTTGTTCCTTTTTAAAATGTTTTCAAGGACTGCCCCCCACTTACCCACTTTTCCATTCTGAGAGAGTTCTGAGTTAAGCGAAACAAAGGAAAGCACTAGCAGTCCAGTCCTTTGAGGAACTCTCATGTCCAAATGAACAAACACAATTCCTTCGGAGTTAGATCCACTCTTCTCCTCCAGAAGTAGGTACTCACAATGAGAACATGGTTTGCTGTTTTCAATACCACTCCCAAACTGGCAGGGAGTTGGTGTAAGGCTAAGTTAAAATATCACAAAGCTTTCCTTCTTCTATTGTGTTGTCATCCTTTTCCTGATTTAACTTTTGCTTGATTGCTCTAAAACTCCAAACTTTGGCTACCTTCCAGAGTTTTGACAAAGTTGTTTCTGACACTATGCAGTAACATTAGCCTGGCAGCATTTTAGAGTATGAAACTGGAAAGGTCATTTTTCAAAATATGGTCTCTGAAAATAATTAATGTCAAAAAGCCTAAGACCAGGAGATTTTGTCCAAATACAGGAGATATTGCTATTTTAAACTTTGGGTGACATTTTAACTGTCCTCAAAGATCTTGGAATCACAGTATAACTAATTTATAATGTACTTTTGTAATGATCTGGCCATTTCTGAGAAGCTGTTTCTCCAGTTTATCATAACCATCAAAGCTTCGAATTAGGAGTAAGGAAATGCTGCAACCAGACACGGGCTTTATACATTAGTAACATCTATTGCAGTTTTATTAAAAGATATCTTGTTCATAATTCTTATGTCTTTCTTACAGTGAATACATGAACCTGTCGACCACCAGCTGGTCAGCTCCAGTTGTATGGGATGGCACTTTCAATGAAGAAGTATTGGAAGAGTATTATGAAAAACATAAAATTACTGTGGGATTGATTGTATTTGCTGTAGGAAGGTAGGTAATGCCAAATGTCCTTTACATTCAAGCTTTTTATTGTAGAAAATGGTAGATTATCAATAATCCCACCTCAGGAATCTAGGAAAAGTGGGACAAAATAAAGCCAAAGTAAACAGAAGTAAGGAAATAGTAAAGATGAGAACAGAAATCCATGAAACTGAAAACAGAGAAGCCATAGAGAAAAATCAAAAAATCAAAAAGCTTTTTCCTTGAAAAAAAAACCAATAAAATTCACAATCATCCAGGAAGTCTGGCAAAGAAAAAAAATTGACAAAAATTACAAATATTAGGAAAGAAACAGGGTATATCACCTCAGACTTGGCAGACATCAAAAGGATCATTGGAGAATACTAACTCTACACACATACATTTGAAAACTTAGGTGAAATGGACCTTGAAAACACTATCACAACCCACCCAACATGAAATTGACCATTTCAATAGCCCTATATCTGTTGAGGAAATAGAATTCATAATTTTAAAAACTCCCAAAGTCTCCAGGCCCAGACGTTTTCACTGGAAAATTCTACCAAATATTTAAAGAATTAACATCAGTTCTACATAATCTTCAAAAAATCAAAGAGAAAGGAACACTTTCCAATTCACCTTATGAAGCAAGTGCTGCCCTCATATCAAAATCATACCCCAAAAAGTACAAGAAAGTATTAAGTTGAACAATGTACATATTACCCATTAAAATTATAAATTTTTATACAGAACTTCTCACTCAACACCCAAAAAACAAATAATCTGGTCAAGAAATGGGCAGAAGACATGAACAGATACTTCTCCAAAGAAGACATACAAATGCCTAACAGACACATGAAAAAATGTTCAATATCACTAGCCATCAGGGAAATACAAATCAAAACCACAATGATATACCACCTTACACCAGTTAGAATGGCAAAAAATTAACAAGACAGGAAACAACAAATGTTGGTGAGGATGTGGAGAAAAGGGAACCCTCTTACACTGTTGGTGAGAATGCAAGCTGGTGCAGCCACTCTGGAAAACAGTATGGAGGTTCTTCAGGAAGTTAAAAATAGAGCTACCATATGACCCAGCAATTGCACTACTAGGTATTTACCCCAAAGATACAGATGTAGTGAAAAGAAGGGGCACATGCACCCCAATGTTCATAGCAGCAATGTCCACAATAGCCAAACTCTGGAAGGAGCTGAGATGCCCTTCAACAGACAAATGGATAAAGAAGATGTGGTACATATATACAATGGAATATTACTCAGCCATAAGAAAGGATGAATACCTACCATTTGCATCCACATGGATGGAACTGGAGGGGGTTATGCTAAGTGAAATAAGTCAAGCCGAGAAAGACAATTATATGGTTTCGCTCATATGTGGAATATAAGGAATAGTGCAGAGGATCATAGGGGAAGGGAGGGAAAACTGAATTGGGAAAAATCAGAGAGGGAGACAAACTAGGAGAGACTCTGGACTCTGGGAAACAAACTGAGGGTTACAGAAGGGGGGGGGATGGGATAACCGAGTGACAGGTATTAAGGAGGGCACGTGTTGTGATAAGCACTGGGTGTTATATGCAACTAATGAATCGTTGAACACTACATCAAAAACTAATGATGTAGGGGGGCGGAGCAAGATAGTGGAGGAGTAGGAGACCTGGATTTCATCTGGTCCCAGGAATTCACCTGGATAGGGATCAAACCATTCTGAACACCTACGAACTCAACAGGAGATCGAAGAAAAGAATAGCAACAACTCTCTGAACAGAAAAGCGACCACTTTCTGATAGGTAGGACATGCGGAGAAGTGAATCCGAGGCGATATTCGGGAGGATAGACGGCGGGGGAGGGGCCTCCGTCAACCGCTTCTGGCAAGTGATAGAGCAGCGGAGCACAAAATCGGAACTTTGAGAAGTCTGCTCCGCTAAGGGACGGCGCTCCAGTGGCTAAGCAGGGGGTGGAACCCTTGTGGGACAGTGTGGGCTGAGGACCCTCGGGGTCACAGAAAGACTGGGGGTGCCTGAGTGCAGCAGAGCTCCCACGTATCGGATTGGGGAAGCCGGCTGCAGAGACAGAGCCCAGGCGCGGGCTCTCAGCTCGGGGTTGCCATAAACTGTGATCCGCGGCACAGTTGGGCCACTGCTCCTCCAGCAGGGACCCGACAAGCGGCAGATCCGGGGAGACTCACCTTCCTCCCCCGGGAGGAGCCGCGCGGGAGTGCACCGCAGGGATCTGCTGGGTTTGGAGACTCCACCCGGGGTCGGGTGCCAGAGAGAGAAACACGCGGTCACAGGCCGGTTGAGCACGGAGTGCGGCTGGAGACCGAGGAGACGGGAGTGACTGATGGCTTTTCTCTGGGGGCTCACTGAGGAGCGGGGCCCCGAGTTCTCGGCTCCTCCGGGGCAGAGACTGGGAGGCCGCCGTTTTCACTCTCCGCCTCCAAAGCTGTACGGAAAGCTCGCAGGGAACAAAAGCTCCCAAGAGCAAACCCCAGCAGATTACTTAGCCTGGACTGGCAAGGGCGGGGCAATTCTGCCTCCGGCAGAGACATTTGGAAACCACGGCAACAGGCCCCTCCCCCAGAAGATCGGCGAGAACAGCCAACCAAGACCAAGTTTACCGATCAATGAGAATGGCAGAACTCCAGCGCTAGGGGAATACTGCACATATAATCCATGGCTTTTTTACCATGATTCTTTAGTCTTTCAAAGTTAATTTTTTTTAACTGTCTTTTTTTTTTTTTAATTTTTCTTTTTCCCTTTTTCAATCAACATCTTCTCAATCCCTTTTTTAAAAAACATTTTTATTTTTCATTTTTGGGTCATATTCTATCCCTTCATAGTAGTTACCCTTATTTTTGGCATATATATATAAGTTGTTCTCTCTTTAAAATTTTGAGATACAGTTTCTTCTAACAGATCAAAATATACCCTAAATCTCTAGTGTATGGCTTTGTTCTAGTCTCCTGCCTGATCACATTCTCTCCCTTTTTCTTTTTTTTTAATCCTCTTCTTTCTTTTTTCAAACAACTTCTTATCTTATCAATTCCTTTTATAAAATCTTTTATAATTTTCATCTTTACAGTCATATTCCATCCCTTCATTGTATTAACCCTTATTTTTGTACATATATAAGTTTTTCTTTCTTTAAAATTTTGGGAGGCACTTTTCTTCTAACAGACCAAAATACACCCAAAATCTAGTGTGTGGCACCAATCTATGCACCAGCCTGATCATATTTGATCATATTCCGTTTTTTTTGTTTTGTTCTGTTTTTATCTTTTTCTTTTTCTTTTTTTTCTCCTTTTCTTTTTTCTTTCTTTCCCTTTCTTTCCCCCTGGTTTCAGGTCTTTTCTGATTTGTTTAGAGTATATTTTCTGAGGACGTTGGTACCGTTAGCATTTTGTTCTCTCATTCATCTATTTTGTCCAGAGGAGTCTGGACAAAATGACAAGAGGGAAAAAATCACCTCAACAAAAAGAACAAGAGGCAGTTCCAACTGCCAGGTACCTACTCAATAGGGACATTAGTACGATGTTGGAACTAGAGTTCAGAATGATGATTTTAAAGATACTAGCTGGGCTTGAAAAAAAACATGGAAGTTATTAGAGAAACCCTTTCTGGAGAAATAAAAACTAAAATCTAACCAAGTCGAAATCAAAAGGGCTATTAATGAGGTACAATAAAAAATGGGGGCTCTAACTGCTAGGATAAATGAGGTAGAAGAGAGAATTAACAATATAGAAGACCAAATGATGGTAAATAAAGAAGCTGAGAAAAAGAGAGATAAACAACTGGATCACGAGGGCTGAATTCAAGAGATAAGCAATACCATAAGACAAAACAACATTAGAATAATTGGGATCCCAGAAGAAGAAGAAAGAGAGAGAGGGGCAGAGGGTATATTGGAGCAAATTATAGCAGAGAACTTCCCTAATTTGGGGAAGGAAACAGGCATCAAAATCCAGGAGGCACAGAGAACCCCTCTCAAAATCAATAAAAATAGATCAACACCCCGATATCTAATAATAAAACTTACGAGTCTCAGAGACAAAGAGAAAATCCTGAAAGCAGCTCGGGAGAAGAGATCTGTAACCTACAATGGTAGAAACATTAGATTGGCAACAGACCTTTCCACAGAGACCTGGCAGGCCAGAAAGGACTGGTATGACATATTCAGAGCACTAAATGAGAAAAATATGCAGCCAAGAATACTATATCCAGCTAGGCTGTCACTGAAAATAGAAGGAGAGATAAAAAGCTTCCAGGACAAACAAAAACTAAAGGAATTTGCAAACACGAAACCAGCCCTACAAATATTGACAGGGGTCCTCTAAGCAAAGAGAGAGCCTAAAAGCAACATAGACCAGAAAGGAACACAGACAATATACAGTAACAGTCACCTTACAGGCAATACAATAGCACTAAATTCATATCTTTCAATAGTTACCCTGAATGTAAATGGGCTAAATGCCCCAATCAAAAGACACAGGCTATCAGATTGGATCAAAAGACAAGACCCATCAATATGCTGTCTGCAAGAGAATCATTTTAGACCCAAATACACCCCCAGATTGAAAGTGAAGGGGTGGAAAACCATTTACCATGCTAATGGACACCAAAAGAAAGCTGGGGTGGCAATCCTTATATCAGACAAATTAGATTTTAAACCAAAGACTGTAATAAGAGACTTAAAGGGTCTATCCAACAAGAAGATCTAACAACTGTAAATATCTATGTCCCTAACACAGGAGCAGCCAGTTATATAAGGCAATTAATAACAAAAGCAAAGAAACACATCGACAACAATACAATAATAGTGGGGAACTTTAACACCCCCCTCACTGAAATGGACAGATCATCTAAGCAAAAGATCAACAAGGAAATAAAGATTTTAAATGACACACTGGGCCAAATGGACTTCACAGATATATTCAAAACATTCCATCCCAAAGCAACAGAATACACATTCTACTCTAGTGCCCATGGAACATTCTCCAGAATAGATCAC